AATGTAATTTTTTATGGATGTCTTGTTGAGATATCTATCTGCATCTGTACAGTTTCAAATCCACCTCTGTGCAGAAGGCAGAAAAGTAAAAGATGGTTATCTCCTAACCCATCTCGTAGCGATAGAAAGCAGCTTCTATGAGTTAGGGAGTTCAGGCAAAAGTGAGGGAAACTCCCCCAACCCATCGAGGGTCAAATTAGTGACCAATCAGGATTACAGATGTGGCCACGTGACATGAACTACATTTCCCAGGATACCTTTAACTCCATTTACCATGATGCCTACCCTTAAGGGGACAGCTCATTAATTCCTAAGTAACTATCCAATTCCCATAGACTGGCTGGGACAGCACACTCCCTGCCTGGAATTGTAAATTCCACTATTAAAAGAAGAGAAAAAAAAATTAACTATAAACTAAGATAATCAGTAAACAGTAATACTATGAATAGCAGATAACTATATAACTAAGAAAAACAGTAAACATTAATAAAGCATCAAACAAAGCAAAGCATGCAAAGCTTGAGGTTCAATCTTCAAGTTTGGCCTCTTGGTGAAAGTCTGCTGGTCACCTCTGGTGGCATTTTAGGGTGTACAGGTACTCTTGTTGGCAAAGGTGAAAGTCTGGTGGTTGCTTCCAGTGGCCTTTTAGGATTGGAATGGTACTCTTGCTTCCACAGTGTCAAAGGGTGTCGGGAAGCTGGGCAGAAGGCAGAAAAGATAAATTGTCACTATATATATATTAATTCAACAAACTAAAAATTTATTGATGGCTAGGCAATGGAAATAGATTTTATATGCCCTTTCTACTGCTAAAAATGTGTTCAACACTGGAAAGAGAACTGTATGGCCCCAATAAACATCTACTATTATTTGCAATTTATGAATATTTATTAATGAATTGCTTAAAGATTATGTGGATGATTTAACAATGAAATATGCTCATCTACTGTAACTTCTGTACAAAACTTTCCGTGCATGTATACACATGTAAAAAGCCTTTATATACTCATACTCACACAACACTTTTTGTTATTGCTGTTGCTTCTCCCCACCCTTTATTTTCCCTACTGTTTTCCTTCTTTTTAAATAAGTAAAGGGCAAAAGGACTTGGCTCACTGACTCCACATTGGAGATCTTTCTCTTTAGCAATTGCTGAAGCACAGCAGAATCCACAGCAAAGCAAGATGACTCTGTAGTTTCTTCCCCAAACCCCCAAAACTTTAACCTTAGACTGTCTACTATTGACCTCACCCCTTTCCTAAGAGGTCTGTAGGGGGCGTGCATAAGCACACCAACGTGCCTACCGTCCCTGTCCTATTGTTTCTTTTATTTTTCTTATATGTACCCATATCATGTATTCATAATTATGTATACACTTATACTTATTATCTTGTAAACAATTGACAAATAAAATAAATAAATAAATAAATAAATAAGTCAAAGCGATGACGTGTGTCTGGTGACATCAACAGACATTTGACACAAGTGCACTGAGTCATAGCGGTAGTATGGTGATGCATGTTTATCCTCTATTTTATCAAAGGAATGTACAATCAGTTCCCAGCTCAACTTTCCCCGTTTTCCAAGTCATTTGCATCATAATTGTGTGCCCATTTTGTCTGGTCTTGTGCATTAATCTAATAATACCTTTGCTATCTAACTGTCCTAGTAAATCATACTGGAAAAACGTACTTCCCGAATCATGTCTTAAAATAGGAAGGAGTGGCTAAGTTCTTGATTTACAACCATACTTAAGCCCAAAATTTCTATTGCTAAGCAAGGCAGTTAAGTGAGTTTTGCCGCATTTTATGATCTTTTTGCCATAGTTACTAGGTGAATCATATGGTCATTAAATGTATCTGGCTTCCCCCATTGACTTTGCTTGTCAGAGGCCAGCTGGGAAGGCTTGCAAATGGAGATCACATGACCCCAGGACAAGCTAGCTATCATAAATTGCACTTTATGCAGTTTATAAATGCCAGTTGCCAAGTGCCCAAATTTTGATCATGTAACCATGAGGATACAGAACAGAATAACAGAGTTGGAAGAAACCTTGTAGGTCATCTAGTCCAACCACCCCCCAGCTGGAGACCTACACCATTTCTGACAAATGGCAGTCCAATCTCTTCTTGAAAGTCTCAAGTGATGAAGCTCCCATAACTTCCGAGGGCAAGCTGTTCCATTGGTTGATTGTTCTTACTTTCAGAAAGTTTTTCCTTATTTCCAGATTAAATCTCTCCTTGCTCAGTTTCCATCCATTATTCCTTGTTTGGCCTACAGGCGCTTTAGAAAATAGCTTGATCCCTTACTCTCTGTGGCAGATCCTCAAAATATTGGAAGACTGCTATCATGTCTCCCCTGGTCCTTCTCTTCACTAGACTAGCCATGTCCAGTTCCTATAACCATTCTTCATATGCCTTAGTCTCCAGTCCCCTAATCGTTCTGCTTACTTTTCTCTGCACTTTTTCTAGAGTCTCAACATCTTTTTTATTGTGTGGTGACCAAAACTGGAGGCCGTATTTTAGGTGTGGTCTTACTAAGGCTTTATATAGACCAGAGTGACATTAGTACCTCATGTGATCCTGTAACTTAGCATAATGTTAATGGAATTTAGAATTGCATTGGTTTTTTTTGACTGCCACTGCACACTGTTGGCTCATATTTAGCTGGTTGTCCACAAAGACTCCTAGATCCCTCTTATAGTTAGTGCTGGTTTCTCCCAATCTATATGTGTACTTTTCATTTTTCTTACCTCAGTGTGAGATTACTTTTCTCTACATTGAATTTCATTTTGTTAACTAGGGCCCAGTATTCAAGTGTGTAAAGATCCATCTGGAACTTGAGCCTATCATCTAGAGTGTTGGCTATTTCTGCCAGCTTAGTATCATCTGCAAATTTGATGAATTCCCCTTCTATTCCCTCATCTAAGTCATTTATGAAGAATCTGGGCCTAAGATGGAACCTTGTGGTATCCCACTGCTTACTCTCTCCATGCAATATTGCAATGGTGTGCATGAAAGTTGTGAAAACCAGTCGCTTTGATACAGCTTTACACTGAGATGCAATAGAAATTAATAAATAATGTGTGTCTTTGTACTTCACAGAATGGCATAATTAATTTACTGTACTGTTTGGATAACTTTAGTGTTTTTTCATCTTTTTCCATTGTTTTCTTTTTACTTGTATGTAATACATAACAAACAAGTGGCCTATGACTATAAATACAATTTTCTTACTTATTAGTGGGTTTCTCTTCCAAGGAAGGCTCACCTGGTTTCTAATATAGTATATTTGCCAATGCGTATTCGTTTTAAAATTGGCAATGATTTCAATATACAGTATGTATTCTTCCTGCCAGAATCCTCTCTCCTGTTTTACAATGTTGTCATTTTGTTTTGTATTTTCACTGTGTTGTGTTTTGTCAACTGATCAGGTAATTGTTTATTGGAGGCAGATTTTTTTTTAAATGACCTTATAAATAAATGCTCAAAAAGGGTTGCACCATTTACATACAGAGAAGAAATATTGGGTCTACTTAGGGATATCTTTGAAGTGAGACTTGTTTCCTGTCCCAGAGTCAGCAGCCTTTGTAAATAACCCTGCTTTACTGCCTAGCCTCGTTGTTGGTACCATTAAAGTTGACACAACATTGGAAAAGGCATGATTTGGTTGCCTTTTTGAAGTTTCTATTGAACAACCCCTCCTGCCCAGAGCAAGAAGTTCAAGAGTCCATGTTAGCCAGAAAGACCAGTTATTTGCCTGGACATTCTCTGAGGTGCAGATAAGCTGATTGATAATTCAATACTCAAGGAAAAGCATTCTACACATATTCAAAATGATTCACCCATATTCTGGCAAGCAACTTTGCTTTTTTTAAATGAGAGAAAGATAAAAGATCATGGTGCCTCTTCATATTTTATCCCCAAACCTGGTATTTCTGCCATAAGGCTGTAGAGAGGAAGAGAAATGAGATTATATCTTCAGTGTGGTTGATAGATAGTTACCCTGGATTTTTTCCACTGCTCTGCTAGCAACTAGCAACACTATCCTTTCCTTTGCAGCTCCTTGCAAACTGGGCAGGCTTGGGCCTGTCTTAATAGTGATACATTGGAAGTTCCCCTGAAAGCCTTTCCTGCTAAACTGCAAAGTAAAAACATTTGAAACGAACAAAGTTTTGGAATGTGTGTGTGTGTGGACTGGAAGATGCAAGGATTCCAGAATCATCCTATCGAGACAACCCATCTGAACAATGGCTTGTTTTTTATGTTCTGCTGTCGCCTTGGCTTTTTTAACTGAACTGCACCTGAAAAAATAAAACACTTAATAGGTAAACACATTCCAATTCCTGTTTTTTCTGTCATTCAGTTTGCTGTAGCACTATGATAATGATGATGTAGTACAATGCTTCTCAACTTCAAGATATGTAGACTTCAATTCTAGAATACTCCAGCCAGATGGCTGTTGAAGTCCCTATATTTTAAAATTGCAAGGTGAAGAAATATTGATCTAGTGTTTTAAAAAAAACCTATTTTGCATTCTTTCTTTATTTACAAGAAGGTTTTAAAAATCCCACACCTTTTTATTTCATTTAATAGGGATTTTTTTCAGAATGTGTACTAAAAGTTAAGGATTCACATTTGGTGAATCTTTACCTACTGTTGGAAGCACTGACTGGCCTTACCTTCCTGACATTTCTTTGCTTTTCTTCCCTCCTCCCCACAAATCTCATACCTTCCTTATGACTCTGCAGAGGCAAGAAAATATATTTTGGTTCTTGGCAATGACTAGAAGTCATTTAATGGTCAAAATTATGCAGCTTTGGTCTACCAGAGGGGAAATAGTGTAAAAAAAAAAAAAAAGAAGACTTGTTCTCCATAGCACCTCAGCCAATCAGACAACACCTTTCTTTGACCACACCTACTTGGCCGGCAGGTGCATAAAAAGAAAAAAGAAATGACACTCCAGAGCACTAAGTAACTGCTGAAGAGCTGGGACTTGACTTCTCCCCTTCCCTGAATTCCTGCCACTTCTCTAGTCTACCTTTGGAAATCCACCAGTCATGCTTTTTTGGCATAGCCAACCTGATCATTACTGGCCAAGTCCGGGAGAAATGTATTCTTGTCCTGGGAACAATCTCATAAGGTGAGCAACTTCTTTTTTCACTCCTCTCTTTCCAGCTATGCCAGCAGCCGAGATCTGTAAGAAGAAGTGGGGGGGGGGGGGTAGCATGCAAGTAAATTAACTTGTTCATGATTGGGTATATGTGAAATAGTTGTATTGATTCAGTTTCCAGGATTTTGTTTATTTCAAGAGAATGCCTGGAAAGCTCACCGCCTATCAGACAGACTATCACAGAAGGTGAAGACTTTGCAATGTTTCTCTCCCTTCCTCTTCCCAGTACCTCATAGGCAGAGCTGTCGTTCTACTCACATAGGATTTGCATGGTGCTATCCTGGATAAAAGGATTTCCCATCCACAAGTTGGTCTCTTCTAAATTTAAAGCCACTTAGACCTGACCATCACTGTTTTTCCCGTTATGTGGTTAAGTGAAGGGAATGCAGTGTTGGTATCAGAGCCAGATCAAGAAAAAAGAAAAACAACACATCTTGTCCGTTTCTCTGGTATAAACTCACATGACGTGACAGATCTTGTTTCGACCATGTTCGCTTTTAACTTTGGGGGACAGGTAGGTAGCTTAAGAATGGCATAGCAGGGAATGTGGGGGCCCATCTATGCTCTGCTCTTGCTTGAGAAGCAGGAGCTGGATGTTGCTCGGAGGCTAATAGGAAGGCCTTTCTTAATTCCGTTCGAATTCCCTGACTGCCATCATTCCTATTATGCAGAGAGCCCCTGTTCTCTGGAATTGCTATTTCACCCCCTCTTTTTCTTCCCTTATCTGTTTTGGATTGCATTGAAGGGCTGTTTTGTTGTGAAAAATAGGGCCTAAGTATTAAAGTATCCTCTTCTACACAAATATTAATCATGCACAAGCCCTTGCAGCCTTTTTAATTTTGACACTCTCGCGCATTACAACTACTCTTCTCCCTTATAAGACCTCCAGCTTCTGTAGCCGAACCTTATTTCACTAGCTCACTTTAATGGCATCTCAAGAGGAAGAGGTGCCATTTGAAGTCCAGAATTGTGGCCATGCACCAAAACATTTGTATATATTAATAAACCATTTCACTTTGAAAGCTGAAGGTCAGAAATCAATTCCAGAAAGCATGAAATGTTTCTGTGAAATACATTAAGTAGATAGTCATCCATTGGCCCAAGGCCACCCTATTATTAGTAATTTGGCTAGCAACATTTACAATAGCCTTTTTATGATGCAGCCTTTTTATATGAAATGGAAAACTGGACTTCTATAGAACACCTGTGGGAACAGGGAAAGAGAATTTTCTCTTTTTACTCCTCCCCTTCAAAATTGTTGCTTGCTACTAATAACTAGTACTGGTATATTTTGTGATAAAGACTAATTATATATTTTACATCAAACAGCATGCGCTTGTAAAATTGATTGTAACAATATCAGTGCAGAACAGAATGTGAAAGAGAACTAATTTTAAAGTAAACAAACCAATGGAGACTCAGCATTCAAATAATGGTTAGTAAGTGCATTATCATTGCATAGTATTACAGGTGTACTTGAAAAATTTTCCCTGGCTTTTACTAAAACTGTAAGATCTGCTGATCCAAAGTAGATGCTAAATAAAGACCCTGACATTTGTGATGTGCTAAAAATTAAGTGTTTCTGAGCGTGTGCCCTGCTGAGGAATTTACAATCAGTGCAGGATTCAGAAGGGAAGATTGTTAACATGAAGCAACCAAGAATTAGAAAGCTGCAGTGAACTACTACCTCCTGCTTATTTGCAAAAGGAAAAAGAAAAAAAAGATGCAAAAATAACAAATAATCTTAGAGAAAGTGCATTTTGTAACTCTTCCTTTCATCGTCCTGCCTTTTAGCTACTACATAGCTATTTACAGCAAGATCTTACAAAAATTACTTGCCTTTTAAAAGGTTCTGAAGACATGGTGTTGTGTCATCATAGTTGGGAAGACAGTGGTGATGTGAAGTCTGTAAGATGGTTGTGTTGATTTACATATGACGTGTAACTTCCTGCTGGTTATCTTTTTTACTTTTAATGGTGGTACTTATTGTGTTTTCTAATGTTTATTGTTTTATAGTCGTTTAATTATATGAACTATCCAGAATCACAAGTAAGATGGGTAGCTACAAAAATTGAACAGTATATTTTGGCAGTAATTTTGTGGCTTCTGAACATATTATGATTCAGAACTTTACTTCAAAAAATCTATCCCTCCCTCCCCCCTCTCACAAATACACAAACACACACAAATAGCCTCTTGGTAAATTCTACTTCCTGAAGTTTTTGTTGGTAAAATTTTGGAATTCTTTGCCATTGCTTGCTTTCCTAGAGCTGAGATGGAGTGACTGACCTCCAGTTGGCTTTGTGCCTAAGACAAGATTACAATTCAACTGTTTCATAGTTGTAGTCTGATGGATTAACCACTACACCAAAGTGACATTCTTTTATCTCTTATCCATATCCTTTTCGCTATTGCAGAGAGCCACTGGCACTGCCATTCTTAAAGCAGGAAGAACCAAACATTTCAACATCAGCTGAGCAGCATTGCCCATCTTTCCAGTATATTCTGTGTGCTGTTACCTCTCCAGCTGTCAAACAACATGAGGAAACTCTCACCTATCTCAACCAAGGTAAGATTTTATAAATCAAAGGAAGTGGTGCAGGAGAGAGAAGAAAAGTGACCAAATTCTACTTAAAACTTCCCCCTAGTGGTAAACATAACACAGTACAGACAAGATTCCACGGCCTATATAACATTGTGACACAAAAATGACTGCACACACACACACACACACACACACACACACACACACACACACACA